CCAAGCAGCCCCAAATCCTCAGACTCATGACCTTCTGTCTAAACCGCTCTAAAAAGTTGTAAAACAGACGGACAATATGACCTAATAATATTCAAGAATAATATTACTGGCCTAAACACAAAATAAATGTCATTTGCTAAGCACCATGTAAAAATACTTTCAGGCCACTAAAATGGGTACAAGGTAATGTCCTGTTATTCGTCTATATAAATTTGTGTCCAGTACAATATGCCCTGGGAGTCGCCGTGGCCAGCCTGAGGATCGGAAGGTCATGGGTTGGCACTTTGACGGAGCCGGACTTTTTTTTCTCCAGAAATGACCTCGACTCCCAGGTCGACCCAGCATTAAGTGGGCACCAGGTGCAGGCCTGGGAAGTAAAGGTGGCCGGCGGGGTGCTGACCGCATCACCCACCAAGTGCCAATTGGTCTATCAAAATATAGGTTCAGCCCTATTTTCCCAATAGTCTCAAAGGCATGGAAAAGGGACCTTTACTTTACTTACTTTACCATATGCCCTGCCAGTATGTTGCCAGGGCCCTCTTAGGGAAAGAAAAATGTAGAACACAGCACCCCTGCCAGGTGTGTTGTTAATGGTGACTAAGGGTAGACTTGGGGTTGGCTACCTCATCCAGTAATAATAGTAGCAGCAAAAACCAGCCTCTTTATCTTTTGCATTGACATGTTGCAGCAGAAAGTCTTGATTGTTCGTCCACTTGTGGACTTTAGCCTTGAGTTTTGAATGCATATTCGTTTTACAAATCTAGCATATTTGTATGTAGACTGTTGGCTTTTTGCCTCTCAGGCAGATGCACTCTGACAACGGGGCCCCGGAACCCTAACAGAGGTGTGGGGAAAGGGGGGGGGGGGTGGTCCAACCAGTCATGAAGAAAATGAGCTGAACTGTATACAATAGCCAAAGATAGAACAGCCTGGCATGAGTTGATTGAGGACCCTTGCTCCATTGGGGGAACAAAGGGAAAAAGAAGAAAAGTATATGCCAGTTGCGACAGTGGCCAGATAAGGGTCCTTTACCGTTATATTGTTATCTAGTTTGGTGACCAGGCTGACATTTGGACTTTTAGCCCAATATGGACTAGACATGGCAGAATGTTTAGCTTCACATTTTTGCTCCTGACAGTGCTTTGCTAATGCAGTTTCTACATATGGACAGGTGTCTACGGTTTCACTGTCTATGCTGTTGAGTTAAGTGCTTGTTGTAGCACTGTGAGTTGTGTTTTTCATGCGGAATGCTTTTCATTTGTGCAGTGGTTGGGTTGTGGTATTCGATATGGCCAGTTTTCAAAATGATGACAAGCAGCAGTGTTATTTTTCAATGGCAGTGATTTCTCTTGGATTGTTTTGTTCCCCCATTATGGACTGCTATTTCCAATGCAGGATACTATGTGCTTTTCATGAGAGCAGCATGTATTGTGGTTATGTTATGTTGGGGCAGGATAATAACCGGTACATTTGGCAGCCCCAACCAGGCTGCATTGCAGTTTTGATTGTGGTGGCCCACTGTCAAGGAAAACAGAATCTTGTCAGCAACTGTTTGATCTAACTAAAAGCTATGCCCAGAAATGATTTGTGTCAACAGTTTTTTTGGTGGGATGGAATCGACACATATGATTAACTGAGTGGCCAATATGACCAGTAGTCGGTTTATGTGTGGGCTGGCGAAATACTGTATGTAACAATTTTTCATGTGTATATCATGACCGACTAATTCCATAAACAACAAACTGCATTTCTGGTGGAGACTGTTGGCTTTGGTGCCTCTGGCAACTGCCGTATGCCTTTACTGTGTGCGAATATTTCTGGATTATGCCAGCACTGATTATTTGTTCACCAGTTTTTCAAATGGGACAGTAAAGGACATTTTGTTTGATTTTCACTGGCACAGGAATGGAGCCTGTATGGGGTGACCTGATTGTGATGAAGTTGAAGCATTGACTGACATTCACCACGTTATGGTCTGTTGCTTAGGCACTGCAAATGCGCTTCACAACAATGAGGTGCCGAGTTTAATCCAAGCTGTGGGCAATCTGACAGCAGATTGCCTTGTGTTGGTTTCAACAGTGGTATCGAGAGCCAGCTATTCAGAAGTGGTGGTAAAATTGCCTTATGAAATCACAGACAGCCCCAAAAATACTGATGTTGGTTCGGCAGCACCCTGTAAACTAACCCAGCTAACTTTTTATGATCTGTGGAAGAAGACTAGAGCAGTAATGGAGATTTTCCTGTGCAAGTGAAAGTAATCAGTTAGAGACTAAATAACTCAGTAAGCACTGGAAGATCTTGAAAGAGAAACTCATACATTTGTGTTTTTAAAAGTTTTTTTTTCATAATAGATTGCACAGCTCCAAGTAAAACTGGAAATGCTGAAAAATCAGAAATCTGAACTGTTTATGCAGCTGAAAAAGGTTTTGTACCAGGAAGATGAATCTCGACGTAAGGTTCTACAGAAAGAGCAGAGGTAACCTAAAAGATGTTCTTGTGTTCATTAAAACAGTGGTAGGGGACATCCAGACCAACCAGCCTTATACGGCCTGTAACATCATTTTACATAGCTCTGCAAAGGCAACCACAATTAAATTTTTTACCATTTATCAGCATAGGCCTCCCTGCATAGATAGAACAGGAAGGAGGACTTGACTGTGAGCACTTTATTCCGTAGTCAATCCATGCAGATGGGTAGCACATTCTATAGTCAATCTATGCAGTTGGGTAGCACATTCTGTAGTCACCACATGCAGATGGGTAGCACATTCTATAGTCAATCTATGCAGATGGGTAGCACATTCTGTAGTCACTACATGCAGATAGGTAGCACATTCTGTAGTCACTACATGCAGATGGGTAGCACATTCTGTAGTCAATCTATTCTGGTAGTCTGGTAGTCTTAGTTTCAGCTTCATAGCAAACGGGTCGCCCCATCTTTGCTCTGCTCCTGTGCCAGCGAAAAACACCCAGAATGTTTATCACAGTCCCTTGTGGAAAGATTGACAGACTGCTGTCTCAGCATATCTAGCATACACTCGCATTAAAGCATATGGTAGCCATCCGAAGTGCTAACACAAACAGTCCAACATTAGAAATGCAGTTCATCATTGATGATAGCAGAACTTGTCGCCAACAGATCAGCAGTTTCCCACGCGATCAATTGTAATCACACACGGGCACCGCCAACATTGACGACCGGCATCGCGCCATTTTCTGAATCTACAATTCACACCACGTTGGTCACAGTCGAAAAAACATTCCAAATGCAATCCGCAGCTCACAGGGTCACGCCATGCATTCAACTCAGAAGCTGGGCGACGAAACTATATCCAGTCTACAAATGGAGCAAAAATACTTCGGCCACCGTCCGGCAGAAGCAAAAAATTTGCCTCCGCTCCGACACAGCGCCGCTGTCTAGCGTCCATTTTAACCGGAAGTTCTGTAGTCAATCTATGCAGATGGGTAGCACATTCTGTAGTCACTCCATGCAGATGGGTAGCACATTCTGTAGTCACTCCATGCAGATGGGTAGCACATTCTATAGTCACTCCATGCAGATGGGTAGCACATTCTGTAGTCAATCCATGCAGATGGGTAGCACTTTTGCAGTCACACCATCCATATGGGTAGCACTTTCTCTAGTCACTCCTTGCAGATGGGTAGTACATTCTGTAGTCACTCCATGCAGATGGGTAGCACATTCTGTAGTCACTCCATGCAGATGGGTAGCACATTCTGTAGTCACTCCATGCAGATGGGTAGCACATTCTGTAGTCACTCCATGCAGATGGGTAGCACATTCTGTAGTCACTCCATGTAGATAGGTAGATCACTTTCTGTAGTCACTCCATGTAGATAGGTAGATCACTTTCTGTAGTCACTCCATGCAGATAGGTAGATCACTTTCTGTAGTCACTCCATGTAGATAGGTAGATCACTTTCTGTAGTCACTCCATGTAGATAGGTAGATCACTTTCTGTAGTCACTCCATGTAGATAGGTAGATCACTTTCTGTAGTCACTCCATGTAGATAGGTAGATCACTTTCTGTAGTCACTCCATGTAGATAGGTAGATCACTTTCTGTAGTCACTCCATGTAGATAGGTAGATCACTTTCTGTAGTCACTCCATGTAGATAGGTAGATCACTTTCTGTAGTCACTCCATGTAGATAGGTAGATCACTTTCTGTAGTCACTCCATGTAGATAGGTAGATCACTTTCTGTAGTCACTCCATGCAGATAGGTAGATCACTTTCTGTAGTCACTCCATGCAGATAGGTAGATCACTTTCTGTAGTCACTCCATGCAGATGGGTAGCATTTTCTGTAGTCACTCCATGCAGATGGTGTCACACACTGCTCGTGTCACGTGCCGAGGTAAGGATTTCTCCTAAGAAACTATCAGCACTCTGAAATAGTTATAAATGTTGGAATGTCGGTTCGTAATGGTCTAGGTGGAATCCCGCAGCCACAATACACATCCAACCTATTTCAGTGGTGAGACAGCACAAGTTATGGCACTACAGAATATACACTCCTAGGCGCAACTTGGCTGGACTTCCTCACTACTACAACTACTACTAGATAGTCTATTATCATAGTCATGTTAACACAGAATAAGATCTAATATATTAATACTCACACTCCAGACAACTAAGAACAGTTAAGGATGGACTGAAAAATTCCAAAGACATGTAATAAGTTCAACATATACATATATAAATCAGGCAAAAAGAATTCAACAGAATCACTGACATTGCGAAACGACAGACATAATAGATATGGTTGACACTCGAATTGTCCTAGAGAGCCGCCATTGTCTTCCCAGCTCAGTGAGGGATAAAGGAGCTAGAACCGTGACATTGCATCTGAATAGACCACTATATTAGGTTACTTAGCTTCCTCCAGGTCGAGTCTACTGTTCTGCTTAGGTTCACAACAACTAGGACGTCTGGAACAAAGTCACTGAAATGGTCTGTTCCTCAGCATCTCAGGAATTGCACTTGGAATAAAGTATCATACTAATGTCTGATAGTTAATTGAGCATCAATACGGTTCACCACAAATGAAAGGCACTTTCAGGCTTCTCCAGGTGTCTCCCTGGATGTGGAGTTCTCCCACTGAAACACTGGTCACTACCTGGCTGTCTGAAAAGAGTCACCAGCAGGCCCCAATGGTGCTGTCTTCTGCCTGCTGTTGGCACATAAGAGCTGGTGGCTTTGTGGACTGTTGATTAACTGCATGGCTTCCAAGGAAATATCCTGTGAGGAAGTGGAACACCAGGATAAGCAGTCATCTCAAAACATATGCCCAGTTCTCACTTAACTCTCTATCCCCATATGTACAGCTCAGAGGACAGCTCTCTGGATAATGAGACTACTAGTCTCTATGCAAACAGTGTCAATCAGTCAGTAGAAGAGACATGAGACAAGTTTCACAAGGAGACAGACAGAAGACTCTCTGATAGAGGACAATATCTCTCTACTTCCATATCTGTACCTGTAGTTACACAGACTACTACTCACACCAATATGTATATTTTATCTATCTATCTATTGTCTTCTTCACTTTTACCGGGTAGCAGCCCAGTGTCGTGGTTTAAAATATTTGTTTTGTGCCTCTCGTGTGATTTGAGTGACAGTTTTCTGGATCTTCTGGCCGTATTCAGCTACTCCATCTATCCATTTTTTCCTAGGTCTTCCTCTGGCCTTTCTTCCCGATGTTCTACTGTAAAAGGCCTTATAGGCAATCTGATCCGGTTGCATTCTTACTAAATGGCCAAACCACTTCATTCTCTGTCTTTCAATATGTTCCATGCATGCTCTTGTTCCAACTTTGTCTCTAATGCTGACGTTTGTGACTCTGTCTCTTTGTGTATTGTTGGTGACTCTTCGGAGACATCGCATTTCACACGTAGTTATTTTTTGCATATGTGATTTGTTCATTGTCCACGTTTGGCACTGATAACATAACGTAGGGATGAAAATGCTGTTGATCATCCGTTGTTTGGCTGGTAACGAGATCTTTGGATGACGAAGAAGTGGGGCCAGTTGGTAGTTGACTGCATTGGCTTTTTCCCCTAACAAGGGGAATCTAGCCTTCCAGGTCACCACCCAGTGTTTTGGCATGAGTTAATTTGTAAATACCCCATGACGTCAGACTTGTATGTCCACATCCGCTCAATCGATAATGTGTGCTGACCCAATTATTCTGCCAGCCTCCAGATTGGCATAACTTTTTCACAACCAACAATTTATGGAACGATTTATCTGCTAGATTAAATCACTGATACTAGTGCTGGGATGGGTAGCGTATATTACCTCACCTTGTAAAGGGATGGTTAAATGTAGGCGGGCGTGAGTAATTTGACACCAAGAAAAGAATCGCTCTGTCATGTCTCATAGCAAAGTTGGCCCTCCTCCTCAGCAGCGGGAAACTATCTATATATATATACATGGTACTCGTAAACTGTAATCGACTTACCCAAGCTCAGGATTCCTCCAGGTAACATAACTGTTAACTTACTTACTGTTAACTTCATTTTAACCAGAATTAAGCACAAAGGCAAAACACTTCTGTTCTCAATGGAAGCCAGATTGAGAACAGGGGGAAAACTTAGCACCACTCTCAAAGAAAGTAGGCCGACAGATTCCTACTTCAGGTTGTGCTTTGTCCCATCCGAATGTGGGGAATAACACCAAGAATCTCCAGCTTCTAACTGTAAGTTCAAAAATGGAGACATACCAAGAGATTCAGAACATTCAGAAATATATATTTCATAAAGAAGTGTAAATATATAAGAGGGACTATATACCCACTCAGGCGAGTTCACTTTTGAATTTGACCTCGTCTCCAAAGGGGCGAGAGGATCAAGAATAGTTTAAGATGAAGGGGTGGTTGAGACTGTTACGCGACAGATGGTGTAGAGATGGTGGAAAGGAGTGTGGTTGGGGGTAGGGCAAAAGAAAAAACCTCTGCCCCATCCCAAGCATGTTGTATGAAGTGATTTATTCATATTGGCTAAAACTGACCAAAAGGTGCAGTTGTTGCATATTAGCTGTAGACCACAGCACATCATGTCAACTGCCATGCAGAAGAAGACACCATTTCATTTTGCTAAGATCAAAAATTCACATTGTGAGTTTACTGTGTTTGATCCTGCATTTTATTTTACAGTGAATCATTGTTGATGCAGGCACCGTTCCATCTGGCTTCACTGGCCACTGTCAGGCATCCAGCAGTTACACATGGACGGCCATCACTGTATAAACCTACAACTTCAGCCCCGCCATTGAGTGTATGTAATTTGTCCATGATGTTGACATAGATAATTTCCCTTAGTGGGTTCCGGGGCCCCATTATGGGGAAAACAAGAATAGACCCACTGCCTCCCCAGCAAGCATGTTCTCGGGCCCTAGCACAAAGCCAAGGTGCAAATGGACTTCCCGCTGGAGCTTACAGCTGGTAAAAAAAAAAAAAATAGAAGAAGATATAGATAATTGTAATGGACCTCTATTTCATGCTACCATGTCATGTAAAGAAAAAGAATAAAAAACAACTAAAAGAGATGAAGCCCTATTACAGAATTTTTTAAAACAGTCTTACAACGAATCTTTGAACCCATCAAAGATGCAAACAGCAGGGGAATGGAGAGTGAGAAGCAACAACAAAATTCATAATCTGTTTAAATCACCTTTGATCACTGGTATCATGAGAGCTAACAGACTGAAATGGTTGGGGCATATTGAAAAAAATGTCAGATGACAGAGAAGTAAAAACTGTATACATGAGGGAAATAATGAATGGTCGTAGACCAAGAGGCAGACCAAGAAGACGATGGAGAGATAATGTCTAGGCAGACCTGTAAACACTTGGTGTCACCAACTGGAAAGAGAAGGCCAACCAAAGAGATGAATGGAGATGGGTGATATCTGCAGCAATGAACCTCAAGAGCTGGGAACGCTGAAGAAGAAGAAAATGTCATGTCCAGGATGTAATGTCAGGCACCATATTTCCTGGATCCAAGCTCACCGGCTGGGAAACATAAAGGACCCTTTTCACACCATTGGTGCATTGGGCAAATGAGGCTAAATTCATTTTTTGTATAGACCAATCAGCCCTTGATAGGTGATGTATTCAGCATGATACCGGCTGCCTTTACTTCTCAGTAGTTTACCTGGTACCCGTTTAAGGCTGGGTCGACCTCGAGAACCAAGGTCAAGTTTGAAAAAATCCAACATCATGCAGATTTGAACCATAACCAAAGGATCTGAAGGTGAGCATCTAGCCGCTACATCATGGCGGCTCCCGATTGGGTAATATGGTCTGTAACAACTTACCCTGGAGAACTGAGGGTTAAAAGTGCCTGCTTTACCCTCTGAAGTGCTGCCTGTGGGTTCAAAAAACATGTAAGTTAAAACAACCACATCCGGGATGCCAATCCTACATGACTTATCCCAGCTACCCTGCTTAACATCCCTAGAAGTTATAATTAGGGTACCCCTGACAGCTGCACCAAGTACTCACTTGGCGTACCCTGCTGTTCAGGGTGAGTTGGAAATGTAATACTAACCCCATTGAACCTTGGTATCAAGTTTACGGGATAAAGTCTTCTTCAGATCGATGTAGACAATAAATTAATTTAAAAAAAAATAAAAAATAAAAAAACTAACCTGAAAGGAAATTAAAACCAGAACTATGAGGTTAACAGGCCAAAGCACTCATAAATATGTGGAGAGAAGATATTCTTGTTGCTATGGAACTGCCTGTAACATTTGTGATTTATTTTCTGCTTGTTATGCACACAGTTTAACCCTATTGCCGAAGGAATTCTTTCACGAAAAAAGTCAACCCAGAAATCACCCTCCCCACCCATTATTCTTGTATGGAGGAAAGTAATAATTAAAGACAGAGAGAAGAATTAATTAACTAATGTCCCTTGGATCGTAACAAATAGTTCACATGGTAACTCATACCATAATCCTGAAAGCTAACAGAGCATGCGGACATCGTATTGACTTAAAAAAAGCCATCTCCCTGCTCCCTTCCAAAACCCTTGATGTGTCAAAACAATTTATGTCTATTAAAATCCCCCCCCCCCCCCCTTTTTTTTTTAAACAGAATTATGTGGAGAAAAGTAATCAATAAATACAAAGTGGACAATTAAATACTAATGCCCCTTTGATCATAACAAATAATTAAGATAGGCAGATATTCAGCTGTGCTGCATTTGCAGGAAGGTAGAAATACCTTTGTTAAAAATCTAAGTAAGTAACATATAGAACATTCTTAAACATGTGAACTATCATGGAGCATTCATAAAATCCATTGGAAAATGCCATGTAGAAAATAGAATAATAATTGCCATGACAAAAGTAGCCTTATGGAAGATGGAAAACATGTTTACTGATAAACTGTACTCATTTACTGTGAGAAACAGAATCTGGTAAATGCTGGTCAAAATCTGTAATTTGGAATTCATGTTAAGCATGGGCAGTAAGCAGATAAGAGGAGCGGCTGGCCGAACGGTTGGAACGCTGGCTGGGCTTTCAAGGCGGAGACCAAGGTTCAAATCCTCGGTAAGACTGGGGATTTTTTTGTTGTTGGGGGCAAAATAAAAGCCTCACCTGCACAGTCATGGCGACAGCACTAGCCATGTGGCCGTAAATCCTCAGGATGAAAGACCCCCTTGCCTACATCATAAAAGTGGCGAAAAAAAGGCAGGAATTAACAGTAAGCAGATAAACTGAGAAACATGTAATGGCAGGGTGAATCTGGTTTTGAGGGGAATTTAAAAAGAAAAAAAAAATGCATGGATGTTCAGAAAAACTGATGAGACAATAAAAATGATGAAAGCCATAAATTGATGATTGGAGAGATTGGACATTGTGAGGATTTTTTAGCATTATATGAGAAGGAATAAATTTGTAAATTGGAGAAAACTAGCAAATTTAATGGAAACAGCGTAAGACAAAGAAGTGCCCTGATGCCTTGGCCACAGGGTATAATTGGGACAAGAACACAAACCTTATTCCAGACTCGTAATCGTGAGGGATTGTGAATGATGACCACCCGTGACTGTTGGTGTGGCACATGATGTTGATGATACACCCTGTTATATTTCACAGGTATCATCTCTTATTTGAAAAAAAAATGTCAGAAAAATCATAAACACAAAATTGGATGAATAAAAAAAGAGTGAGCAGATCAGAAAAATTTCTGGACACTGCATCAACTGCAATAAAACAAAGAAGGTGGAGATAAATTGGGCACACTCTGAGATGAAATGAACAAATAGTTACAAAACAGGCACTGAAATTGAAAACAAACGATCTGAGAAAATGAGGACATCAAAAGGAAACATTAGGAAGAAAATTATTACAAAAGGCTAAAAATGCTGGGCAGAACTCCATGTCAGAAATCGAGAGTTGCATGCATTAGAGTGGATTGGAGGAATCAAATGAGAGCCCTTTTTGACATCTAACTTTATTCATCAGTTGTCCCCATGTGGGATACCATTTTTAGTTATTTTGAAGCCTCACCCCGGCTGTTGCCGGGGGCCCTTAATATAGCCAGGCCTTAAATTTGGCCTAAGCCGCATGGTGGCACTTTGTGTCACTGGGTGTTTATTGTTTGTGTTATGTCCTGGTGGGGTAGAACTTACCTACCTACATCTAACAGCATACAAAGGATGATGATCATCATCTCTTAAAATGATCACCCTTGATTATGATTTGCTTTTATATTTCCAACTTGAATAGTATCTTGAAAAAAGGATGCCTTCTCTTTAATTACACCAATGTTAGCACCTACAGAAATGCTTTTAACTTGAGAACTGACCAAACAGGAGCAGTTGGCTGAGTGGTTAGAATTCTGGGCTGTAATCCTGGAGACCTACGTTAGAATCCTTGGTGAGGTGACAGCATTTTTTTGGGGGGCGGGGTACTAAAATGAACACCCTAACCTGCAGTCTGTGGTGACCACACTAGCCATGCAGCCTTAAATTCTCATCCCCCTGCCTTCCCCCTGTCCTACACCACACTAAACAGTAAAAGACATTTAACTAACAGATACTTTCTCCATAATCAAACTTTCATTATCATCCACATTAATATTTTCAGCTTGAGCACACTGGTTGTCATCCACATTTATATTGTCATCATGAGTTCTAGCTTTCTCTAAAAGATAAAAACCTTCTCCCTAGTGAAACTTTGGTAATCATCTACATTTATAGTTTTAACGTGAATACATTTTGGTTACCATCCACACTTATATTTTCAACTTGAATACCGGCTTTCTCTAAAAGATAAATACCTTCTCCCTAATGAAACTTTGATTATCATCCACATTTTTTTTTTCAAATTGAGCAAATTTTTGTTATCATCCACACTTATATTTTCAATATGAATACATTTTAGTTATCATCCACACATATATTTTCAACATGAATACATTTTAGTTATCAACCACACTTATTTTTTCAACTTGAATACATTTTGGTTATCATCCACACTTATATTTCTAATGTGAATACTGGCTTTCTCTTAAAGATAAATACTTTCTCCCTAATGAAACTTTGATTATCATCCACCACTTATATTTTCATCTTGAATACAGCCTTTCTCTAAAAGATAAATTACTTTCTTCATAGTTATGCTGGTTATCAGTCACCTTTATAATTTCAGCTTCAATAACCAATTTTACATTTTCATTCCTAGGGTGTCAAGAGATCCAGAAGCCCTTCTCCAACTCCGTCATCATCCTGTTACCAGATTTACAGTCACAGTGAGCCAAAATATCATCACTCTGTAGATGCCAAATATGCTCGCATGGATCCCAAGTTTGTTCATGCTGATGCCAAGTATTTGACCTCAGTTGTTGGTGCTAAACCTGGCCAGGCAGGTTATTTGTACACAGCACAGCACACCCAGGCAGGGGATTACAGTAGGTTTCAATTTACAGTCACATGACCGTTTATATCAATTAACATGTTTCAGTAATTATTAAAAAAACTACACATCTAAAGCTTTGGTTTCCAGTCTCTGGGGGGGGGGGGGGGGGGGGTTGCAGATGAGGAAGTTCCAAGAAAGGCGTCAAGCAGTTTTTAAAAAAAATGAGTTTATCTGTACTTGTAATAACTTGTTATATTAGCTTTACAAAAATTTAATTATAAATAATATTTTTCACAACTTTAAAACAAAAAGCCTGGGACATTTTTGTTTTCATGAGCAGTATGTAGGTATGATCGTGAGCAGTATGATCGGTAGGCAGACCAAACAATTTCTTGAGGCCTCAGAGATGTGGCTTTACAGAAGAATGCTTAGAATACCTTGGACAGCCAAAAAGAGCAACCAAGAGATTTTGAAAGAGGCGGGAGCCCGAAGACAACTTATCACAGACATCAGAAAGAGACAGTTATCATTTTTCGGCCATGTTATGAGAAGAGGGAAAATAGAACATGTTGTGACCACTGGAAAGATCTGTAGAAGGAGGGATAGAGGAAGACAGCGAGAGAAGATTCTTGACAGTCTTGTTGCATGGCATGGAGGTGTGTCGGCACATGAACTGATACATGCTGCGGGAGATCCCAGATTGTGGAGAGGCAATCTCGCACACGCCAGTTGGCAAGGCACCTGATGTTGATGTACACCTGATGTTAAAAATCTAATTTAATCTGATAACACTTGCATTTAGTTATGGATTAAGAACAGATTCCTCTGTTTGAAGCCATTTTGTTATGTTGAGTGAGCAGAGGGTCTTGCCATATACTCAATGGAAGGAATGGAGTCTTGCAATACACTTAAGGGGGCATGTGGATCTTACCATATACTAAAAGGGAGCGCCACCTGAAAAAGGTTGGAGATCGCTGATCTAAAGAGAATCAGTGTTTTTTAACATGTTACTTCCCATGTGGGTTCCTTCATCCTGTGGTGATGGGGAGACGATAGTAGATCCACTGCCCCTGACAAGTATACCGTAAATAATCAACTGATGTCAAAACCGTTTTTTTTTTAAATAAAAAAATTCTCTTTAACATGATTAGCCTTCTGGGTTCTTTATTAATATCCTACCCCAGATGACGTCACAGGACAGTCCAACATTTTAGATGGTGGTAAGATTAGGTTTCCTGGCTTTCTAATGCTTTTAACAACCCTAAAACATCTAGAACTGGTCCTAACCCCAATCCATCTATGTCCCACGACTGCATGCAGCCTATCTACCACCCCCTGAAATATTAGACTGTCCTGTGATTTATAGATTTCGCCAAGCACTGCCTTCTGTCTTCTTCTGCCTTTCTAACCCCCAGTATAGAATAGGCCCTCAACCAACTCAAGCCAAGTCATTCTGTCCTTAACTATCGAATGCAGCTCTCCTCATGTCCTCCCCGTCTTTTTAACTTCACTTTCCATCTCCCTTCTCCAAGTGTTTTTTGTTTTCCTTTATTTCTGTGCCCCTGTAGGTTCCAGTGCAAAGATTCTAGTTATATTGTTCTCAGGTTTTCTCATCGTGTGTACAATGCGATGGCAACATCTTGTCTTCACCGCTTGGTCCACTGGAACTTGTTTTGTTTCCTCCCAAAGATTAGTGATTCTACCATACCATTTAATTCCCTCTACTCTGCACAGGCACCAACCACTTAATGAATGTTTGTAGTTTGTTTGTAATTGCCTTTGTTTGTAATTGCCTTTGTTTGTAATTGCCTCAGTTGTTCTCCATATTTCTTTTCCATACTGCAGTTCTGATTTGACATTAGGATGACATGTTTTTAAGTTTAGTATTAGTTTCTTTTGACCTCCCAAAATTATTTAGTGCTATAAAAGTTCCTCTTGCTTTTTGTATTCATATTTTAATATCTATATCAGTTTCCCCATCTTTATCTACATTACTGCCAAAATAGGTGTCCGACTCAATGTCTTTGAGTGGGATACCATTAAGAGAAACCACATTGCTATTTGCCTTATTTATTCTCATTATCTTTTTCTTTCCCTTATGGATTTTCAGACAGCTCTTGTGATCTTGCATCTGGTATATTTAATAAGTCTTGCATCTGATTCCATGAATGAGACAGAAGAGCAATATCATCAGCGAAGTCCAGATCATCAGGCTGTTCTGTAGGGGTCCACTAAATTCCATTCTTGGTGTTAGCAGTTGCTGTCTTCATAATCAAATAGCCAAATCTATAGCCATCTAAACACAGGGTTAAGCTGTCTTTCATTTCATTGCTTTCTGCTCTTGTACTTAGAGTGGCTTGCATCTCTTGATAAGAGTCAGGTAAGAAGCACCTCATGCTTTTTGTTTTGTCCAGGTTATTTGAGTGTCTGTGGTAATGAGCAGGCTGATAGATTAGCTGCTGCTGCCATTCTAGGCTAGGAGTTAACTTTATGACAAAGCAGATGTGGTGAAGGTTCTTTGGTATCAAGTAGTGCAGCAAAACTGACAGAAACTCTATATCTGGAGAAGATAATTTAGCTGGACGTGAGCATAAGGTCAGGGCTATTATCGACTTGAAGGGGGAAAAACAACTTCAGTCAGATAACAACTAGCATAATCATTATTAAAACTTTTAGTTGGCTGCTTAGAAAGTGGATGGAGAATGTATGGGAATGTTCTGAACGCAGGGATGTCTGTCAGTTCTTGATACATTCATTCATTATTTTCTTTCCAGAGGGCTCAGGTTTTCCTCAGCCTGGCATGAATCATCTGTATACCACAAGCGCAGCATATCAGCCACAGACAGCTGCTGCTGCAGTAAGTTCATATCCAAGCAGCCATTCAACTAGCAGCAAGTATATTTCAGCCAGCCAGTCAGCATTCGCTTCCTACCAGAGCCCATTTGCTCAGTCACATTCGCAGAAATCTTTAGCGGAACAGTTTTCAGCTGCTTTTTCTGTTCAAAGATTGCCTCAGCCAGGTGTGTACATTTTTTTCTGTGTTTAATTTTTTTTTTTTTTTTTTTTTTTACGTATCCAGAAACCATGAGTTGTAAACCCTTTGGCTCGGTACTATGGATATCGCAACCCTTCGGCCTTGATTCCATTATAGGTACCGTTAATCTGGGAGAAATGTGGCTTTCCTGCCTACCCCCAGGAGTGAACCCGGACCACAAGGAGTTCGTCACCCGGCCGCCGCCAAAGTCCGGTTTAACCAACTTCGCTAGAGAGCGGGCCTGTTTATTGTATTAAAATTATTAGGATACAATGTATTGCACAATTTATTGTCTGATATTTTGGCTGTATTTCAGGTGCATTACTATTTAATAAAATTATTATTTGTGTCAAATTTTGAATCAAGAATCAATATTACATGCACTCAGGACATTATAGTAATTGGTATGTCCCCATCTTCAGCAGCAAGCACAGAGTTCCAGTCTTGATGGCACCATTAACAGTCTGTTGATTGTTTCCCACTTCCCTTGAGTGTCGATTGTCTGCTTGATCCCCTGGTCACTCCTTGCACTACCATTCTCTTCAGGCTGTGATGATCTGTTTGTGCCTTTGACTGTTCACTCGCTCCCAAAAGACTCTCAAAACAGAAGTACTGTTAAAGAAGTACACAATCATTTTAACTGTAATACACAAATCACATAATCTCTTACATGTTGGTATACAACCTGTATTATATGTTTATATCCCCAATATTTCAGTTCACAACGGGGAGAACATTGTTCTGAATACTTTTAAACTTGGTATATACACTAGAGCAGTCTTCTTCGACCATTTTATATCCGCAGACAAGTAAAACGGGACATTGTTTTGCGGACCACCTGTCAGCTGACCAAAAACAGAAACAAATATAGATGGTGGTTTATTTGTTAAATCCGATGTTACATAATTTCTAATTTTCAGCAAATGTGACATACATCTGCTGCTGGTTAGAGGTTAGAAAATCTGAGACATGTGACTCAAACTTTGTTTCTGAGAGATATAGAGCTGCAGTTACACTCATTCTGTTTCTCCTTTCACTGATATTTAGTTAGTTTTTTAGTTAGTGAGTTCATCGACAGATGATCTTCATTGCACACTGGACAAGTCCATAAGCGCTCGGATCCCATCTTTAGCATATCCCTCAGCGTGTGGCCACTGATACCAGTTTTGGCTACCTGAAGTGGTAATCAATGGTCGCTTGTACACTTCTGTGCCAAATTGTCACTTAACAATTCTCACTTTTCATACAGCAGTGTAGTGCTAGAATCATGTAGTCACTACATAAAATGGCAGACATGTTTGGCAGACCACCAGTTGAAGAACACTGCGCTACAGAAACCAGTCAGCACATGTCGATAACATCTCTCTTAGTAACTTACCACTGGGCAATGTAAAATCAAGGACCTGCCACTTAAAATGACATATCCATTTCTTCATATATCAGTAACATACTTTTAGAATTAAAATTTGTACTTTAGATTGGTTGAAGGCATACAAAAATAATTTTACTGAGTTAGGAAGCGTTTGAAAACAGTATGACTGTGAAATTCTTTGTGCACATCAACAGTTTTTTGGGGGCTTAGCTTTAAATAAAATAACCTATTGATCAGATTTATCTGAAGTTGAGCGAAGCAGTTTGTGAAATAAACGTATCTCTGGCATTTACAGAGTCAAGCTTTCACGAGGGACTCCACTTTGTGTACCTCATGCAAAGTATGCTAAGGTAACTCACACATTATAGTAGAAAAAGCAGGTAGATGAGCCTTAGATGAGCCCCCCCCCCCCCACCCCCCCCCCCCCCCCCCCCCCCCCCCCCCCCCCCCCCACCCCCCCCCCCCCCCCCCCCCCTCCCACCCCCCCCCACCCCCCCCTCCCCCCCCCCCCCCCCCCCACCCCCACCCCCCCCCCCCCCCCCCCCCCCCCCCCCCCCTTTTCACCCTTTTTTGTTGTTGCTCTTTTCACAACATTTCCTCGAAGTAATCAGAGAAAGGAAAGCATAGAATAGTCACAATATTTTTTTCTTCAGGAAAACAGTACTTTCTTATCTTTGTTTTTTTTGTGGTTATAATCCTTTCCGCCAGAGCTTACAGCCAGTGAACACGAAGAAAAATCAATGCACTTTAGATATTGTTGTATTGCACAGTGATTTCTTGAAAGCGATTAGTCGGGTATTAAGAGGAACGCCTGTCCAACATTTGTGTGTTACAGGTGCATGCCTTATTGACTTAACTAAATGCTAATAAATTTGTGTCCTTCACAGCCTACCATACAAGTCTTCAGCTGTCTCTCGATCATGTGGGGTCCAAACAGCCTATCATAGAGGAGAAGTATAAACTAGCACAGGTATGTCAGTTTTAACAGAGTTTGTGCTAATGTACGTATCTTTTGAGTTGCAACCTTTATTGTTTAGTTAGAAACACTCTCTGGAGAAGGCGTTATTTATTTTGCCCTGGAAATGCTCAAAGATACCAGGCAAGAACCCTAGGAGAAACTAACACCCCCCCCCCCCCCCCCCCCCCCCCATCTTCTTCTTTTGTTGTCTCACTGATATCAGGTTGTAGCCCAGTGTTGTGGTTTCCTGTATTTGTCTTGCACTGCTAAGATGATGGATTCGTTCATTTTTTTTGCAGGTTTCACCGGCACTACTTATCCATCTCTTTCTTGGTCTTTCTCTCACCTTCCTCCCAGATGTTCTGCTGTAAAAAGTCTCATGTGCAGTTTGGCCTGGCTGCATTCTAGTTAGATGGCCGAACCATTCTTTGTCTGTCAGTATAATCCAGACATGGTCTTTTTTCAATTCTCTCTAATACTGATATTAGTAACCCTGTCTCTTTTTGTGTTGTTAGTGACCTTGGCGAGACAATGCATTTCACATGTAGTTATTTTCTGTTCTGGTGCCCTATTCATTGTTCATAATTGGCACTGATAAATATGTATCTCACATTTTTTTGTCTATATTTAAATAAAGATTGTTTGAAATATATAGAGGGTGTAATCAGTAAACAAACGGAGTGAAGCATTACATGGAAAACATTTCCTGGGGAATTATAAATTAATCAAGTGACTCATACTGTGGCCCCGCTAGAATTCTAACACTAAGACTGCAGGAAAATTATGATGTTAAAATGGCTTTGTAAGGAAATTTTGTTTAAAAGCCCTGCACGCCCTCGCCCTAGGTTTTTTTCCCTTTCAAATGCTTTATTTAGTATATATATTTATATCCTGGGAGCTGTGTGGGGTAGTAGCTAAATGCTTACCTGCATATCCGAAAGTCATTTGTTCAAATCCCAGTGGGCTTTTTTTTATTTAAAGTGACCTCGGCTTTAGGCTCGACCCAGTTCTAGACGGGTGCCAGGTAAGTCTCGGAAAGTAAAGGCGGCTGGTGTGGTGTTAAACACATCACTCGGTGAATGTGGATTGGTCTATAAAATGTAAATCTAGAACTTTATGCCAAATATGCCTGAGGGTGTAGAAGAGGGTTTTTTACTTCTACCTTCATACTGACTTTTATTTACATTTTTTAAAAGTATTTTGTACATCTTAGGGCCAAATCAGAGGCATTGTTGCCGCTCAACAACCAGCATTAGTTGCTCATGCTATACAGCTACAGCAGCAGCAACAACAGCAACAGCAGCAGCAGCAGCAAGCAAAAGTGAGTGAACACATATTCTTTTATTATATAATTCCATAATTTATTATAATACTAAAACATTTTCGCAGCTAATGTTATAAATGAAATAATTGTCAGAATTTATTTATTGAAAAAAAAAAGTGAAGGTCCTCATTAGAATGTGTGGCCCAATTATTGCCCACCTACTACTACTCCTACATTCTTCCTTACAAGAGCAGGTGGCATGTTGTGTTGTGGTTTACAGCTAGGCTGCAATATCTGCCTTTCATCTCAGCACCTTCAGGTTCACCAAACCCTTAGATTATTCTTCTTTTTTTACATGCTTGTTAAGGGGCAGTGGGTCTATTTTCTTTCTTTCTCCCAACACACTCATCAGCATGCCATCGGAAAAAGATCAAAAGTATGTTCACTACCTGTGACCTCAGATGTAAAGCAGGCCACCCTGCATGAATATTGCTTGTTGTCAATGAATGTTTATTAACATTCCCAATAGAGGGAGTATTGATGTGTCACTGTACATAAACTTCTTTAATGCTAGACAATACACCACATGAGGATTGAAAAAGTTCATCTTGTAGTGGGTCCTTTGCAGAACATAGCTCTCATTACAGTCTGCCTGAAAGAAACTCAATCTCTTTCCATATCTTCCACCTCATACATTTTTCGGTACTTAATTTATAACTTACCCCTGACGTCACGACAACGTCACGGGAGACATTCCCAATAAATTCTTGTGTGTTCAGGTTGTTGTCTCGTGATTAATCTACAGCTAAGTTTAGGGTTAGGGTTAGAGTTAGGGTTAGGATTAGAAGACACTAGATGAACACTCAAATAAAAAACACACAACAGCACACTTCCACCCCTTTAAATAATGGACTGTCAGGTCAGCTGTGGATTTCCCACAGGGATTTCGTGTTTGGGGTACGTTATAAATTAAGAACCCATTTTTCTCCCAAAGGGGTTTTTTATATCCTGTTTTCCTCTTTATGCTGGTCAGCCCCTGCCCTTCTTTCCTGACAACATGCCTTCTGCTACTATTCTTTTCAGTCCGCCTTGGAGCTAGATATAGCCATTTCAGTTTCAAAGACAAGATGTTGTTTACTAGCCATTGTACCCTAATTTTCAATTTCTTTTGGGTGGTAGAGCCGTTTGCCTGGCACTCTAAAGTTTTTAGGGAGATTGATAGGGATCGTCGGCGGAGCTATGCTGCTCTGTGCGGTGCTCTCAGCAGGCAGCTCACTTTTCTGAGGAGAGAGACTGAGCCATATTGGATAAAACCCTCTCACCTTTACCTTGACCTCTCTCGCAGAATGGGTTCCTGGAACTCGCATAGGACATTTGTTTTATTGTGCACAAGCGCCTTATGTTCTTATCTGTACCCAGAGGGATTATAAAAATCGAGCTATGGCTCCCAGGCTATTCCAGCACAGTGTGGGTGCCAGGGTTTATTTTGTGGGGGTAAAGACACATTCTCACACTTGCACATGCATGCTTGTTTATGTTCAGATATTAAGATTTGTATTTTGCTATGTACACATGAAATCACAATAAATTTGATATTTATCTGTTAACAATTTTAGAACTCATATCCAGGCCAAGGCAGTGGGCAAGTCAAGCCAGGATATGGAAACCAAGCTCATAGCAGATTTTTTTGATGTAAAATCTGATTTAAGACGCTCAGATGTGAACTATTTTTGATAGTTTATATGTCTATGGACTATTTTTGATAGTTTATATATGTGTGTGGACTATTTTTGATAGTATTTGTTTGTGTACACCATGAAATCTTTTATGGTTCTTTTATTTGTGTGTGTGTGTGTGTGTGTGTGAACCACATAATGAAATGTTAATGCTGTGTTGCGTTCTGCGTTTCTGAATATACATGCTTATTTTTAATTTTACGTTTATTGATGTCATTATTATTTCTTAACATCATTATTGTTGTTGCCATTATGATTCCTGAATGGGCTCCGGGACTCCGTTGTGTGTGTGTGTGTGTGGGGGGGGGGGGGGGGAAAGATAAACCGACAGACCTCCTAACAAGCAGGTCATAACAGTCGACTAATGAGGGTTATTTCCTTCACAGTCAGAGTGTATCTTTCGGAGTGGCCTGGAACCAGCAGTCTGCATACATATAAGCCAATTCTGTAAAATTGATGTGTACGCAAAACTCAGGTTCTGAAACAAGACTCCCCCCCCCCCCCCCCCAGAAGGTCATGGGTTTGCGCCCTGACGTGGGCCTGACTTTTTTCAAAAATGATCAGGGCTCTCAGATCGACCCAGCCTTAAGTGGGCACCAGGTACAGTCTTGGGAAGTAAAGGTGACCGGCGTGATGCTGGCCACATCGCCCACTAAGTGCCGTTTGGTCTACAAAATATAGGTCTGGCCCTATATACCCAATATGCATGAAGGCGGGGAAAAGGGTCCTTTACTTTATGTGTAGGGGATCAGTCGATTTATCAGTTTGTTTACAGTATCATCCTGAGATAATTTAAAAAAATATCAAACTGGACAGCAGACAAACAAGAGGGTGTGCACTGGTCAGGCGGCTGTTGGCCATTTTGGTTGTTCTGGTTTTTCATCCACTTCTGGACTTAAGTCTCCCTCCAAAACTAGAGTTTTGAATGCACATCTGTTTTACATATCTGGCTTATTTGTATACAGGTTGTTGGTTCTCACCTGTCAGGCAAATGTACTCAAATTTAGAAGGAAACACCTCAGATACCATGTTCAGCCCCCAAAGAAGTTATATGTAGGGCATCCGTAATGGCTACACCTACCAGATATAATTTCCAGTCCTATGTGGGTAAGATAAAGATGGAGGAACTAATAGAGATATTAAAATGAAAATCCAGAAGGCAAGAGGAGCTTTCATAGCACTAGGGAATTTGTGGAGGTCAAAAGAAATACTGAACTGAAAACTTTTAATTCTGATGTCAAATCAGTACTTTTGTATGGTGCGAAAACATGGAGAACAACTAAGGCAGTTACTAATAAACTACAGACATTCATTAACTGGTGCCTGCGCAGAATAGAGATAATAAAAAGGTATGATAGAATCACTAAGAAGAAGCTTTGAGAGAGAAATAAGCAAGCTCCAGCGGACTAAGAGTTTAAGAAAAGAAGCTGGCGTTGGATAGGACACACAGAAAACCGGAGAACAGTATAACTAAAATGTCTTTGCATTGGAACCCACAGGGGCATAGGAATAAAGGAAGGCCAAAAAACACATGGAGAAGGGAGCTGGAGAATGAAGTTAGAGAGATGGGGAGAGCTGTATGTGATAGCAAAGGATAGAAAGTCTTGGCTTGAGTTGGTTGAGGGCCTATGCTTCATTGGGGGCTAAAAAGGCAGAAGAGGAATGTGGGTAGGGCCGTGTGTAAAAGGAAGAAGAACCATTTTCCATGCCTTTAGGCGTATCGTATTGGGAATATAGGGCTAGACCTGTTTAATAAACCAATCGGGACTTGGTGGGTGATGTTTTCACTTTCAACTTTCTGGATTCATAATGTATTCAGATGCTTTTGAATATTATTGATTATTAACACTTTTGTCTCGCAAATTGAATTAGGGCTCATGAACTTTTGGGGGGCCGGGCATATGTCAAAAAATTCTATTTTATGCAGGTAACTAATAAATTATTTAAAAACTTATTTGTCTACTGGTTTGACACTGTTTCAAAATACACATAAATTTCTCTGCGTTCACCGG